AGATGTTCCAGCAATGCAAACCAACACGTTTGGCTCTTTGAAGCGAAATGCAACTTTGGGCATCAACAAAGGCTCGTCTCAAGAACATGGATGCTGCACCTCACGTTTGGGAGCCTTGCAAAGTCTTGCGCGACGCAGCGTGTGCGGAGTCAACACGCTAGCATTTGGGCCTGTGCGTGTCCCTGAACGCAGGTTCGTCAACATCAAAATTGGGCCTGTGCGGGCTCTCTTAGTTCCTTGGAACACTAGCATGTCAACAAGAAGCCTCCCTGGCGGATGCGCATGTTCGGACATGTTGGTGGCTGTGGGCGGTTCCACTTGGCACCAACTGGCCAGAGATACAGCTTAAAGAGTCACAGGGCCATCCAAAGGACTCCACTCCCGGCCGGTGTTGTTCACCTGGTGCAAGGAGCTCATGTCCTTTCCGCTTGCCGGCCAATTGGTCCCACCTTGGGCGTGATGGTGCTCAGCAGGGAGTTCAGCTGCATTGGCCTCAGTGGCTCACGGCTCGCAGGCACAGAGTGGGTGGGAAGGTTGCCAGCAACTTTGGACTTCTCTCAGGTTTGATGCTGGCGGATTCGGCACATCCGCGAAAACTCAACCTCGGATTCATCAGGGGGTATCCTTTTAATTATAAGGAAACAATCTTTGTTAGGGGAGTCCTGTGACCAGTAGGGTCCTCCGGATTCACCCAGAGATAACATCAAAGCTGTTGGGACTTGATGGTCATGGAGTAACAGTCTGGCTCGAAAGACCAAACTCTGGACTCCTCTACGTGTCAACCCATGGCGCACTTGTCTCAAAGGCGTACAGTTGCGACACAACTGCATGGTGGAAACAAATGAGTGCAACAGCTCGGCTTCTGACATTCAGCTTGGGTCCAAGTCAGAGTTGAGGTTGTCTCCCTTTGCCCTACTTGGTGACCAAATGGCATTAAGGTTCTTTTGGGCTTCTTCAGATTTCGGAGAAGCGCCCGTTTTGTACGGAGCCCCTGGCTGCTCATCCAGGTAGAACTGGACCGCACGATAGTAGAGCTCCATGTTGGAGACCTGGCGGCGGTTGGTTCCCGGCTTCGGTTTTAAAGGGGTCCGCATTTTGGGTGTGAGTTTTATTAGGGGACCCTGTGGTGGACACCATTTAGGCGGGGATTTGTGTCCACCAACCACTTTGGAGGTGATTCCTCGTTCAATTGTATGGCATGTCGGACACACGCACAACTATATTCATGGTTGGAAAACCCTCCGAAATGGGAGGGCCATGTTGCCCCAAACCAGGGCCCACCAGGTACCTACGGTGCCCAAGAACCTCTGGAACAATTCGAAGGCAACGAATTGAAGCAACCTTTGGTGAGCTCAAGGTCTGGCCGGGCAACGCAAAAGGCTGAACAAGGTTTCTTGTATGAGTCGCTTGAACCCCCTGGTATGTTGGTTCCAGGTCATGGTTCAAATGACCCATTTGTGTGCCAGGTTTGCTTCCCGTATGGATAACTTGCCAAAAGCCCGAGGCCAGCTGACGCCCCCAGGAGCCCGACTCAGTTTCCGCCCTTCCCGGAAAGCATTTCCCACGGCGGCACCTTCTGCATGATCATCAGGAACCTCAGGCGAAAGAGCCAGAGTCTCTGCCAAGAAAGGACGAACCCCTCCAAATGGGCATGTGTCAAAATAGGGAGACCCCCAGCAAACTGTAAATTTCCAGTGGCGTCTCTTCAATTCAACCTGAAAAGAGTACCCTCAAAAAACACACACACACACTCACACAATCAAATGGTGCCAGGTTTGGTTGTCTTCCAGAACCGTCCAAAATGGCCCCGCTTCTTTGGCGTGCGTAGGTGAAAATGGAACCACGTTGCTCCCCACTAAAAACAGGCCGTTTAGGGAAACTCCAGGGGACAAGAACTGCTTGCTGCTGGAAACCGCGTGAAACCACGACGAGAAACGCCATGCGACCCGGGAATGCGCATCTAAGCCCACAGAAGGTCAGCCGAGGCTAGGAGTTGAGACGTCCGAAAGTGAAGGGCTGAAAGACTGCGGGCCCTTTGACACACCGATGGGTATCCTTTGAAAACAGAGGGAGCCTGGCAGTCTACACCTTTGGACCGTCTCCACACTTCAAAAGAGGGCCCCTGCGTCTGAAAGTGTGCAAAGACAAAAAGCAACTGGTGCAAGGCAAAGCGATCGTCTGGATCCTCTCTGGACTTTCCTTCACACCAAGAGGGGCTCACTGAAGCGAGCCCGTTGACCTTTGGCTCCAAGACGCTGATCAAGCTGACGTGTATATACGTGTATGCATAGCAAGCAAGCAAGCAAGCAAGCAAGCAAGCAAGCAAGCAAGCAAGCAAGCAAGCAAGCAAGCAAGCAAGCAAGCAAGCAAGCAAGCAAGCAAGCAAGCAAGCAAGCAAGCCAGCGAGCGAGCGAGCGAGCGAGCGAGCGAGCAAGGGAGGGAGGGAGGGAGGGAGGGAGGGAGAGAGGGAGAGAGAGAGAGAGAGAGAGAGAGTCGTGCTGCTGATACTTTCAGCATGTTATAGGGCGAAACGTATGCATATTGGCGTGTCCCTGGTCGGGAAGAAGGGAACCCGTTTGTAAAGGTGCCGTACTTCTGGGCAGAGAGGACCCCTCACACCGACGAATGCATCATGGACTGGGAGGGGGTACTTGGATGTTCGGCCAAGTTAGCAAGTGGTAGAAGACCTACGACTGACAGGGTCAACTCCACTGATCGGGGGACCTACATAAGTGGGTTATATATACATATATATATATATTTATAACCCAGGTTATTAGCAACTTACTAAGTTAGCCGAACGCCCAAGTAGGTGTGTCGTTTTTGAGGCTACTCTATTTGTTGTGGTTCGTAAAGAGAAACCAAAAGGAAAACCACAAGTAGTTTCTTGCAGGGTTCCCGAATACAAAGACACGACCACCGGGGGGGTCAATACCTGGAACCCGAGAAGCCCCAAAATGAACAAAAAGGCCTGGCACCACCCCTCCATATCAATATCAAGTCCCTTTTCGCATGCATAGGACTCCTTTTGGGAAAAGGTGCGGTGTTTTCTTGGAACAAACCTAGCAGGAGAAGAAGACACAAAGAGAACTCACAAAACCTGGCCGAAGATTTAAACTGTTTTGCTCGCAAAACTGCAAACCCAGGTGCTGTTTGTTGTTTTTTGCGGGTGGCCGGGTGTTTTCGTCACTGCCCTCCCGCGGTCCCCGGTCCTTTTTCCCAGGGCCCTGGCTGGTCATGCGCGAAGGCCACCGGGCTGTGAGCCTCGGCGCATCGAGCTCTGACCTCCCCACCAACAGTTCCTTTGATGGACACTTGGCGTCTACTTTGCAACCTCCTTCTTTTAGGCATAATAGAGTCTAAGTGTCTATGGCACACACACACACACACGCACACACACACGCCGAACCAGCAGCTGGAGGAATCCGCTAGCCAAGTGGAGTTCTTTTGTGGACTACTTTCCATTCGGAGGACACTCCTGGGTTCAAGCTCTGTGTTCATTCTCAGAAAGAAGCTATCTTGCGTCTGAGGCCCAACACGACGGTATCCCCCCATCCACGACATGTGGCCGTGTCACGCGCTCGCTTCAGCATGGAGCTGTGAATGTGAATGTGGCGAGAAGCCACAGCGAGAGAACCAACAAGAAAGCAAGGAAACTATCCCAAAGAGACAAGAGCTGTTGGACGGTTGCGTTGTTTCAATGTTACAGGGCTCCCTAGATTTCCTCCTTACACATCACCCCACTCAAACGAGACTCGCATTAAATTGGCCCAAATGGTGATGTTCGTTTGATGGAAGCAACAGTCAATTTCAGCAGGTGCCTGCATTGGATGCCCAATTGTCTAACGGTATATAATTTGGCAAGTGTGTCCCAAATATGTGCATTCTACTAGAGTTCATGGTTGGGGCACGTCCCCAAGCTTCCGTGGTTAGTTCGCTGGACAGACGGTGGTCAAGAGTGACAGTTGCCCATATGAGCCATGGTACATTATCCTCATGCGAGCAACGGGCATGCTTCCCCCACAAGAAATCCTTGCCGTGGTTGTCTCAATTGAAGGTCCACGACCGTCCACATCAGCCTAAGCAGGTCTCTCATGATAGCGTCATCCAGCAGCAATGATAGCAGCTTGGTGCTACTGGTGTTCGGCTGGTCAGCCTAGATGAGGTATGTGTCAAAACACGGGAACCCAACAAATGGTGGTTTTCCTTTTGGCTTCCCCGCATACCCGAAAACAGAAGCCAACCCATATAGCTGACTGGCTTAAGTCATGTTCTGTCGCTTCTCTTGCCTCTCAGCCCAGCTTCCGATTGCAATTGAAGCCACCAGCTGGTGCAAGGTTCGCATCGCGGTGAACTCAAGAGTTGCCAAGTGGAGAAAAAGTGTTTTGCTGTGCAGTCGTGTGCGTGTGTATGCATGTGCGGTTCTGCTTGCAAAGGCTTCATACCAATTGTTCACATCGGTGTTTGAGGTCTCTATCCTGAGTACAAAGACAACTGAGCTCAGCGCCATCATCGTGTTGGCCGCCTGGTCGTACTCATCATAGTGCGTGTACAGGAACACGGCATGCTCCCAGTGGTAGTGCCTTCGGCAAAGAAGCCCTTCTCACGGAAGCCTTACGAGTCTGGCTCCTGGTCCCTTAAGGCCGGCTGTTGGCCTCCCAGAGACTCAGACAAGGCAACCAAGCATCACTCCCTCAAAGAGGCAGAAACTCTCAATCCCTTGGTGCATGTTAAAGGAAAATGGTCACCCCTCAGTCCGCCCTTACTTGCATTTCAAAAACAGAAAGCAAGCTCGGAGCTGGCCTCTCGCACGCATTGATGAGCTTGGGGATGTTCAACTTCGCCACGTTCATCTTGATGAAGTCCATCAGCATCTTTGGCTTGTACCTCGCAGATTGTCCGCCTGTTGCTAGTTGGCGGTTTACTTTTTGTCCCAGACCGAAAAACCCAGAATAGCAAACCACTAATCCAAACCACATAACCCGAACCTGTTTCATCTCCCCCAAAGTCGAAAAATTATCCATGACCAAAGAGTGATTTCGGCCCAAGAGCAATCAAGGGATCGGCGTGCTTGCGCATCGGACATCTCAGGTGGAAGGCGAAAATAGCAGAACGGGTCAGGCAAAGCTTCCGAGCTGACGTCAGCACAACACCAAGCCTGGCGGCATAGCAACACAAAGCCTGACGTCAGTACAACACAAAGCCACCAAACCCAATGCCATTCTGATGCACGCTGTCCACATTGACTCGAGAACGTGTTTTTACCCTTTTGTGCGTCTTTTTGGAGGGATCTGCTGAATCCACTTTTCGTGGAAGCCCTCTTGATGTTTTAAAGGGAAACCCCTTGGACAACTCCCCGTGGTTTCCTCCCTAAGCAAGGTGCCCCCTGTTGAGAGAACCCGGCCGGCGACGCGCACTTCGCATACATCGTGGCCAGCTCTGTGTACATGCCCACATGAGCACCTGGTGCACATGCGGGTTCTTTAAATGGCACACCTTGCCTGAGATGTTTGTTTAAGAAAAAGAAGTGCATTTCTCTTTGGGGACCCTTTAGCGGCCCTGGAAAGTGAACGCTCTTCTTGAACAACCCTCACATGCCACCCAAGAAAACTCTCAAATGCCGATCAAAAGGAAAGGGAACCTGGGTTCGATAGAGCTGCCAGCTTCGTGCAGGCTGACCATAGCAAGAGCTAGATTCAAGTCACGCCGTTTTTCTCTTCCTGGTGAATCATCTTGCAGCACATGTCTTATCCCAACTTCCCCCCGGCATCTCCGGCGCGGTTCAAATCCCTCCGCGGCACGCTCGTTGCTGAGCCCGGTTTCCAGCAGCTGCATCAGCGCCTCGGATGTCGGAAACGAAACAACCGGGGCTTCAGGAAACCAACGCGTCCCGCCCAGGAAGGTTCTGATCAACCCTCCTTGGGGCTCTGACCGAACCCTTCCTTGCAGGGGATCCTAATGTCTGAAACTACGCCCTTTTAGACCTTAGTTTCGTCTAGTCTTCCCCCGCAAACAGAAAAATTGCAAGACTTTTCCTGGATCACTTCCAGGCATGCCATCAATTCTCAGGCCATCTTTGGGCAGGTACACGTCAAGGTGACCAATGGTCACGACCAAATCTGCGTGTTTCCCAAATGGGAATGGGCTACCCTACAAATATGGGGGGGGTCCATGCCACAGCTATCCCTGGGGTGCCCGGCATCGAAGCAGCCCTGCCTGAGTGTGGGACCCACGTGTCGAGGACCCCAAATCGGACCGAGCGGACCCGAACGGGGGGTTTGAACGATGTGGAAAAGCTGTGCCCGTCTGAGGGAGTTCTATATGGTGTGTCTTTTTAGGGGACACTTCGCCTCACTGAAAGCATTCCTTCTACAAAATCACTTTGGAACTGACAAATGTGTTTGTCTCATGGGGGCAAGCCCGGACGCCCTGAAACTCGTGAATCAAGATGGGCTTATTTTATGGACTGCCTTGGCGACGCGAGCCTCCTCCGGAATAAGAAGAGACATTAGGGTGTGTCCCCTCTCCAGAAAAGTTCGCAGAACCTGTCCTCTTCCCTCGCAGAGGAGCAGCGCTCGGCTTGCTTGCACGTCTGAACAGGACCCAGCGGACATGCTGGACCCAACTCTTTAGACGCGGAGAAATAAAAACCAGGTACAGGTGTCTACCCAAAATGCGTATCAGAAGGGCGGATATCCGCACCTATTTATGGGACTGCCGAGCCTTCTACCCGGGTTTGGATTATGGCTCCGTTGCTTGTGCCTGGAGTACGCTTCAATCGAAGCACATCAACCGAGCAGCGCTAAAGAGCCGCCGTTGCCTCGAACTGGTGACTGAAACTCTCCTTTCAAAACCAAACTGCTTGAAACCGTTGTTCAACCTGCCAAATTCCTAAATCCCGGCAAGCCCAACCAAACCTTACTGAAAGCCACTGAGCCCCCCGGAACTCCTACGCCCAAAGCCCCCGGCTTCTCGTACTGGGAAATCACCTCCTCCAAATGGTCCGGGTGAACCTTAGCCGGCGAGCCTCATGATCTGTGTCACTCGTGACTCGTGTTCCAATAAGAAACATCATGGTTGTCTACTATGCATTGTTTGTGTATGATGCCAAGTGTAGGTGCGTGTATGTATAATACATATATATGTGTGTGTATGTATATATATATATATATATTTATTTATTTATTTATTTATTTATTTATGAACTTATGTCTGCGTGTACCCAAAGAGATTCAGAATCCTGATTCAAGATGGTTGTGTCATTGTGACAATGTATTATCGTTGTTTGGTTGGTTCCCACTTGCCATTCCCATGAGCAAAGACACAATTATAGTACGATCTCGCTGTCGAGGGTCCAAATGGACAAATGTGTCTGTTCCCCATTTTTGGAGAGCTCTTCTGAGCAGAGATCCTGGAGATTGCAGCCGTTGGAAACCCTAATTCACAACCACTGGATCACTTTTGGGGGAGACCACAAACACCCCCACCCACGAACACCCACGCAAGCAACAAACCAACGAACTCCAAACCAGCCAAGCAATCCAAGCAACAAGCCAAGTGCAACAAGCCGTGTCTCTGCACTGGGTGTGCGGCAATAATGTGCTGGCCTGCAATCTCTGCACCTCGGTGGCTTCCTCCAAATTGAAAGGTTGAATCTTGTTGGGCCACGCACCTTCAAAGTGGTCCCAATCGAAAAGTTCGAAAGTTGCTTCTAGGTGGCCTTGGGAACTGCGCCTTTCCGGCACCCAATGCTGAATAAAAAATGGGTGCTTTTGGGCTTGTTTTGTTTGCAGGGGAGTCCACAAAAGGAGAACGGAAAACGGAAAGCCAATTTGGAGGTCTGAGTACCCGGCTGGCAAAGTCGAGTGGGCTCCCTAGATTTTACCCGGACATTCCCCGACTCAAAAACACAAACAAACCTCACTTGCCCGAAAGGACGCAGAAGCAAGAAGTTCATCTCTTGGGGCCATGACAAAAAATGGGCCAAGACTAAGGGAAACGAGGTCCGATCGGGTCGATTCGCTTTGGTTGCAAGTGAGATGAACTTTAAACTTGCCCAAAGTGCAAGCCGAAAGGCACCAACATGGTGGTGGGAAATACATTGCTGTGAGAACAAGTGGGCCAGCCACCCCCAACCCACCCGACAGGTTTGGAGCTTTGGAAAACCTCAACCCTGGGCTTCGGGCAGCGGAACTGCTCCGCCTTGACACAGGCCAGGTTCACCTGCCGTCGGACTCGGTGACTGGTTCGCCTGACCCGGCCCTGGTTTGGCTGACATGGGGCAACTGTCCAACCGGCTGACTTGCGGATGTAAGCGGCGAAGGTAGAACCCGACTGGAGCTCGGACCTTCCTCGGGGGACCGTCCCGTTTTGGTAGGGTTCGGGGGGATCCACACGGCTCCCAAGCTCAAACATCTAACCGCCCAACCCTGGCTAACAACCATTTTCTTTGGTAGCTCCTTAGTTTGCCTTGAAAGACCCCCCCCCTCCCCAAAAATAACACAAAAATGTAAGCTCCCCACCCCCCCACCCAACCCCAACCCCAACCCCCCGCCCCAAATCCACGCCTCCTGCCAAGTCTTGGGGTTGTTGGCCTTCTTCGCCGCCTCCACTGCCTGCAGTTTCGAACTTTTCGAGCACATCGCTTCGGCTCCCTATGGCTTCCCCTCCCCCTGTTCTTGCTTAAAAAGACCTGCCTAAAAAAATATTCTGCCTTGGTTTTGTCCGGCTGGTCTCCCTTGAAAACCAAACAAAAACAAGTTTCATGACTGGCTGATTGGGAGCCTTCATGCTCGTTTGTGATTGATCCGTTGGTAGGCGGTCCCTTAAACCAAGATAAGAGTGTGTCAAAATAGTGGTAAAATAGTGGTACCCCCCAAAAGAATAATTTGAGAAACATGTTTCAGGACCCTTCAGGTGGCTTGTTTCCTCGCTCGTTCTTCCTGAAACCATCCAAAAAGGGACCACTATTTTCGTCATAAAAGGAATCTCCCTGTTTGGGGGGCCAATCTGAGAAACTCACAAGGGATGTCTGTGTGCTGGGTACCTGTTTCCATGTCACATCCCTGTACAAGACAAGAAGAAAGAAACAAAAACCTTTGAGGGGAGACTGTGGCGGCCACGTTCCAGCTCACCCCGGAGCACCACAAGATGCGTCTCTCCATCTCGCAACACCGGGCCTGAGTGTACTCTCCGAGTTGCACATGGCCTCGGATGACCGTGCGGACTGGGGGGTCGCTGGCGTATCGGATGCCCTCTATACATGCTGCCCTTTCCCTAATGGTCGCATCACCCTTATTCAATGATGGGTAGCAGATGGTCAAGGGATTTTTGGCAAGCTTGTGACCAACCTGTGCCCCAGTGCTGCTCAGAGCAAAGATTGCGACAAGGGAGCAGGAGGGAGGTCTTCCTGTCTACTGGGTCAATCGAAAACTTAATGTTGGTGTGTCTTCTTTGAGGGTACCCATTTGTTTGTGGCTTGGAAGGGAAGCCAAAAGGAAAACCCACCATTTTGCGGGGTCCAATAAACAAAGATTAGCCACCCATATGTTTTGGCGCAAAGGCCTTGTCCCTTCATTTTTCTGCTCATGGCTGTCAACCAGGTTACTCTGAAACCAAGGATTTTGGCAGATCGACCGCAGCGAAATGGAAGGGGGTGCAACCTGACCCTCTGGCAATTTCTTGCACCTTCCCTCCAATCAACTGCGGAGTGAGGATTTTCAAAGATGGGGGCCCGTGGCTTTATAGCTCATCCTAGCTTCATCCTTGAACAAACCAGTTCAGTCGAGACCCGCCACTCCAACTTAAGGTTTGCCATATCCTGCGCAGGCTCGAACCAGCTGGAATAGACACAATGGTTCAACATTCCTAAAATGCGTCCTTGAAGGAACCCCTGCCACAAGATCAGGGACAAATGAACAGAGTGAACAAGACCTGAGCTCGACATGGGCCTCTCTCGGCAAAAGGACCCCTGACATGCCTGGTGTCCCCTTCACAACCAACCAACAAACAAACAAACAAATAGACAGACAGAAAGACATGACAAACAAGCAAGCAAGCAAGCAAGCAAGCAAGCAAGCAAGCAAAGAAGCAAAGCAAGCAAGCAAGCAAGCAAGCAAGCAAGCAAGCAAGCAAGCAAGCAAAGCAAGCAAAGCAAGCAAAGCAAGCAAAGCAAGCAAAGCAAGCAAAGCAAGCAAAGCAAGCCAAGCAAGCAAGCAAGCAAGCAAGCAAGCAAGCAAGCAAGCAAGCAAGCAAGCAAGCAAGCAAGCAAGCAAGCAAGCAAGCAAGCAAGCAAAGCAAGCAAGCAAGCAAGCAAGCAAGCCAAGCAAGCAAGCAAGCAAGCAAGCAAGCCAGCCAGCCAGCCAGCCAGCCAGCCAGCAAGCCAGCAAGCCAGCAAGCCAGCAAGCCAGCAAGCCAGCAAGCCAGCAAGCCAGCAAGCCAGCAAGCCAGCAAGCCAGCAAGCCAGCAAGCCAGCAAGCCAGCAAGCCAGCAAGCCAGCAAGTCAGCAAGCCCGCAAGCCGGCAAGCCGGCAAGCCAGCGAGCCAGCGAGCCAGCGAGCCAGCGAGCCAGCGAGCCAGCGAGCCAGCGAGCCAGCGAGCCAGCAAGCCAGCGAGCCAGCGAGCCAGCGAGCCAGCCGAGCCAGCCGAGCCAGCCGAGCCAGCGAGCCAGCGAGCCAGCCCAGCCAGCCCAGCCAGCCCAGCCAGCCCAGCCAGCGAGCCAGCCGAGCCAGCCCAGCCAGCCCAGCCAGCCCAGCCAGCCCAGCAAGCCCAGCCAGCCAGCCAGCCAGCCAGACACAGCCAGCCAGCCAGCCAGCCAGCCAGACACAACCAGCCAGCCAGCCAGCCGGCCGGCCAGCCAGCAAGCCAGCAAGCCAGCAAGCCAGCAAGCCAGCAAGCCAGCAAGCCAGCAAGCCAGCAAGCCAGCAAGCCAGCAAACCAGCAAGCCAGCAAGCCAGCAAGCCAGCAAGCCAGCAAGCCAGCAAGCCAGCAAGCCAGCAAGCCAGCCAGCAAGCCAGCAAGCCAGCAAGCCAAGCGAGCCAGCGAGCCAGCGAGCCAGCGAGCCAGCGAGCCAGCGAGCCAGCGAGCCAGCGAGCCAGCAAGCCAGCCAGCCAGCAAGCCAGCAAGCCAGCAAGCCAGCAAGCCAGCAAGCCAGCAAGCCAGCAAGCCAGCAAGCAAGCAAGCAACCTAGCAACCTAGCAAGCAACCTAGCAAGCAAGCCAGCAAGCCAGCAAGCCAGCAAGCAAGCAAGCAACCTAGCAAGCAACCTAGCAAGCAACCAAGCAAGCAACCAACCAAGCAAGCAAAGAAAGCAAGCAAAGCAAGCAAGCAAGCAAAGCAAGCAAGCAAGCGAGCAAGCGAGCGAGCAAGCGAGCGAGCAAGCAAGCAAGCAAGCAAAGCAAGCAAGCAAAGCAAGCAAGCAAAGCAAACAAGCAAGGCAAAGCAAAGCAAAGCAAGGCAAGGCAAGGCAAGGCAAGGCAAGGCAAAGCAAGCAAGCAAAGCAAGCAAAGCAGGCAAAGCAGGCAAAGCAGGCAAAGCAGGCAAAGCAGGCAAAGCAGGCAAAGCAGGCAAAGCAGGCAAAGCAGGCAAAGCAGGCAAAGCAGGCAAAGCAGGCAAAGCAGGCAAAGCAAGCAAAGCAAGCAAAGCAAGCAAAGCAAGCAAAGCAGGCAAAGCAGGCAAAGCAGGCAAAGCAGGCAAAGCAGGCAAAGCAGGCAAAGCAGGCAAAGCAGGCAAAGCAAGCAAAGCAAGCAAAGCAGGCAAAGCAAGCAAAGCAAGCAAAGCAAGCAAAGCAAGCAAAGCAGGCAAAGCAGGCAAAGCAGGCAAAGCAGGCAAAGCAAGCAAAGCAGGCAAAGCAGGCAAAGCAGGCAAAGCAGGCAAAGCAAGCAAAGCAAGCAAAGCAAGCAAAGCAAGCAAAGCAAGCAAAGCAAGCAAAGCAAGCAAAGCAAGCAAAGCAAGCAAAAAGCAAGCAAGCAAAGCAAGCAAGCAAGCAAACAAGCAAAGCAAGCAAAGCAAGCAAAGCAAGCAAAGCAAGCAAAGCAAGCAAGCAAAGCAAGCAAAGCAAGCAAAGCAAGCAAAGCAAGCAAAGCAAGCAAAGCAAGCAAAGCAAGCAAAGCAAGCAAAGCAAGCAAAGCAAGCAAGCAAGCAAGCAAGCAAGCAAGCAAACAAACAAACAAACAAACAAACACAATGCCCACATCTTTCTTTCCGAGGCGCAGGAGGCCAAGCGCCCGTTGTTCGGGATGGAGGCGTACAAAATCTTCGCTGCCTCGACACCCGGGGCCCGCACTCCGTGGAAGAAAGAAGTGACACCCGGGGCCAAACTGCGTTTCTTACCCAGGGGCTTGTGAGGCATGGCAGATATGAAGCCAGATTTGCTTCACAGGAAGAACTTGTCCATCGCCTTGTAGAACTTCTCATCGTAGAGCCGGTCTCCGACTGCCTGGATGTTGGCCTCGTAGCTCGCCGTTTTGTGTGTTGCTTGCACCCGGTGCCCTGGAAATGATTTTGTGAACCTAGATGAAAAGAGGAAACAATTGAGGTTTGGATTGAAACAAATGAGCACTGTTGCAGGAATGCCCGGGGATCGTGTGGATCCTGAAACATGAATCACCATTCCTATGGTTTTCAAGGGCCCCACAGGGCCCCCCATCCTAATAGGTGTGGGCCAGTAGGGTTCCTTGTGGATGCCTTTTTTGGCCGTCGGGCCCCCGACAAGCACGGAATCTCCCAAAACCACAAATCATAGAAACCTGCGTCGTTTGTGTCTATGAGTATTACATACACGAATGACTGTATATGTGTGTGTATACATATTTATATATATATATATGGTCACCCCGCCCCCTATGATCTAAATGTGTATATATATATATATATGTATGTGTACATGTGTGTGTACAGATGTATCTATCGTACCTTGCCGTCTTCAGAAACAATTCCAAAGGTGCGCGCGCCAAGGCGCCGTGTTGGTACCGCTGATGAACTCCTCCATGTCGCCCTGGGCAGCGGCGCGTTCAGAGGTTCCCCCCCCCCCCCAGAGGGGCAAAGGGATCTTCATGAGGGTGTGGACTCAACGGGGGGCCCTTTTTGAGCAAAGATTCTTAAGAAGCCAAGAAGAGGATTTTGAAGGGAATCTTCTTGGGTGGGGGGACCCCGCTTTTTGGGGTCCATGTTGATTTGCGAGGGGAGTACTCTCTGGAAAGAATGAAGAGATGGAACCCGAAAATAGGACGGTCCGTCCTCGAGAGGGGGACAAATCCTAGCCCTAAATTGTGGACGAGGTCACCAACCCGTGCCATCGCTACAACTTGCCAGGAGAAATCAGGCCTGGGGGTAGAGTTTTCCCCAACAGCATTGCCCAAAAAAATGATTCCCGGAGCCCCGATATCTTTCTGTGGGGCGGGGAGACGCAGTAGTGGAGAGACTCCGTTTGGAAGTGGTGGATTCCTTTTGTTTATTTTTTATAGGCCTAATTTGGGGGGTTGTCGTTTTTTGAGGCCATTCTGAGACAAACCCATGTGTGGAATCTTCTCTCCAATTCTGGGAGTTGGTCAACTCTGCAGTTTTTACATATGGGTGTATCTAAATTAGGGAAGCAGGCATTATGGTTAGCCCTTGGTTTTCCTTTAAATGACCCTTCAAAACACTCACACATTTTCCAGAACGGGTGAATACAAAATAGTAGGAAACTCCCTCTCAACAGGTGGGTTTGTCTCTGTCTTCCTTTGAAATCAAGGACCCGCAAAGCAGGAAACCCAACAAATGTTTTGTTCCTATTGCTTTTGCTGAAAAACCATCTCACCTTTCTTTCTGAGGAACCTTGAGATAAAAGGTTACATGACTAATGTTGACCCCATATTTATCAACCCAGTCCATTGATAGGGGTATGTTCCAGTAAGAGCCAAAAACGGATATGGACAATGCGTTGCTGTGTCTCCCAACCACTTGGGATGTGCTGAGTTTCCCCACCAGGCGCTCAGTCTTGGCGTAGGAATAGACCAGCTCGCCTGTGCGCGAACAAATCTCACCCACTGACCTGCGCCTTCAGTCCTCAAAACTTGCGCGGCATGCGGGTTTTTCCAGGTCACGGATGCTCTAGTACCCAGGTGGCATCCCCAACAGCCCGGAACCCCTTGCAACCAGCTCCGAACCACTCCGGAGCCGATTTGGGCAGGGACCCCAAAGCGCCCAGCTGTTGGGGAGACAAAAATCTAGACTTGCTGGTGCTCAGAAGGGAATGAGAAATGGAATGACATCCCTATAAACCATTTCCCCCTATGGTCTCCTGTATTCGGGAGTCCCCAAACGCTTCCTTCCATGTCTCATTCCCTACCTATCGCAGCACCAAGCAAATCCGCTCGATGTTCTCCGCTTCTTCAGCCCAAGGCGCCGTCGATCTGAGAGTCCTTCACCTTGGTCCGCGCCATGGTGAGGTAGCGCACCAGCCTCAGCGTTCCAGGCGCCCTTCCGAGGGCCAACGGGGAGCCCTGCAAACGTGCCGGCAGGGCAAGCTGAGTTCTAGGTGGCAAGGTGGGTCTAGAAAAAAAGCCTCAGTTTCAGCTCAGTGGGCGGGAGTCCCGACAAAGAGCCTGAGTCCCCAAGAGGCATTAAGCGTGAAAGTATGTGGGACAATTCAAGTGGTGTCAGACGTGGGTCATTCAGCCCACATGGCTACAGCACTTGGAGCCATGCTCAAACCCAATTGGGATCTGGTTCGTGAACTTTAGAGACGCCGCACATTATCAATACTCGAAGCAGCTGACAACGAACCCCAATAAAGGAAGGGCACTTCAAAAAAAAAAGATCCCCCTTTGTATTTAGGGAGGTCAACCCAGTTTGTAGGCGAAAAACGGGCAAGGAGGGCATCAAAAACTTCAAAACAAGGGGTACCCCGTTTTAAGAGGCAAGGGCATGTTCCCAATGTTTGGGTCAAAAGGGTCATTTTTCCAAAGAGAACCAGCTGCTTAGGCCTGGACTCATCGTAGTTCTCCTCCCTCTCCGCGGCCTGGTCAACTAGCTGGTTCTCGACTCAAGGGCTTTGCGAATGAACCGTTTGGGATCCCCCGTTCCCTCGTTCCCCACTGAAAAGCTCCAAGCATAGGTGTCCTTTGGGGCAAATGGCTGGCCCTGGTAGAGTATGAAGCAACCGGTCAACCAGGGCCATCTAGTTTCTACCTGTGTTTGCGTAAGGGCACACTCGACTCCTCGACGAATTTTGGCTCAAGAAAAAGGCTTGCTGTTTAGGGCAGGTCTGAACCCCCTTTTTTAGGTAAGTGATTCAAAGGTTATGAGCCCAAGGAACTAGCCAGCGCCCATGGACTTGCTCCGACGAAGGCGTCGCAATGAAGGAGCTCCTGGAGATGAGGGAGCTCAAGGAGGTCTTCAGGATGGAGGACACCGAGAAGGGCGAGATCTCATGGTGAGGCCTGGGGAGAATGCAGACCAGGCCTTGGACCGCATGATTGTGGAAGATTTGAGAAGCGGAGCCTTGCGGCGATCCAGGTCAGCGCCGATGCGAGCCGAACTCAGACGGCTGACGGACGGTGCTGAAGGATCAGGAGGCGGGGCGAGCTCGGGTCTTCCTGCTCAGGTGCTTCCTCCCCCGGGACTTCCTCCAGGAGCTGATCGGAGAGGCCAAGGGGATGAAGGACGACAACCGGGTGAGGGCGTTCTTCAGCAAGGTCTTCCTTTGGTTGAGGTACGGCGACCTGGACAAGGAGATCATGGACCGCTCGAAGGAGAAGGACGCAGAGAAGTATATGGGCCACTGAGGCCTATCACTCTGTGGCCAGGAGATGAACATGGTCCAAATCAAGAGCAGCAGCGCATCGGCTGGAGTGGACAGGGAGCTCAACAAGATGGCGGACCTGGTGCTGTCGGAGGTTGGCAATGGGTACCTCATGCGGCAGAACCGCGAGGCCATGGTTGGGAACATCGCGGAGGGCAAGAAATCCCGACGCAGCAACTCCCGCAGGTGAACCCGTTTTGGAGCCCAGAGGTTCAAAGGAGGGCAGCTGCTGCTGCGATGCATGGTGCTGAAGGTCATGGTGATCAACAAGGTGCCGCTTTGACATCCCCACCGCGGCCGGAACCGGGTTCTCAGGGAAGAGTCCCACAAGCCGCTGATGTGGATGGCCTTCGGAGGCGGATCATGAGAGAAGCGGAGGAGGCGTTTCAGGCGGAGCTGAGCAGGATGAGCCTGGCCGGAGGAAGCCACAGTGACGAGGCTTCTTATCGTACGGCCTGGAGCGAGGCTGTCCCACCGCCACCGCCGCCACCACCGCCAAGGGTGCCACCGCCGGATGAGGGCACGGGGCGAAACGCTGCGAACATGTCGGAGGCCCTGAGGAACTTAGAGCTCCCGGCACTTCCGGTTGCGGGTGGTGACATGGCCTCGCTGCACTTCGGCGACTGGGTAACGGTGGTCACCCCCTTGATGTCAGACATCGCGGGATCAGCCAGGATGTGGTGGGCCAAGGTCTTAGAACAGGCCGAGCGAGCCTACGCGAAGTGGCTCACTGCGACTCCCTTGGAGAAGATCCGGCTTCAACCTGATCAAGATCTAGGAGCGGAGCACAACTTCAGGGTGGAGCAGAGAGGCATATCCATGCTTCTGGCGGCCGTGCCGGATGGCATCCGCCGGGACATTATCTCATCGAGGCGGATGTCATCGATCAATGTGATGTTCCGCCTCTACCAGATATATCAGCCTGGTGGCCAGTCAGAGCGCGGGACCCTTTTGAGGAACCTGGCGGATACCAAGGTCGGAACCAGCAACGCGGAGGCTCTTCAGACGCTGCGGCAGTGGCGCCGATGGTTGAGCCGGTCGGAGGAGCTGAACCTCGCCTTGCCGGACGGGCTGGTCCTTATGGCGGTGCTCAATAAGGTGGGTGAGGTTATCTGCAGAGGGAACGGCCAGGTGGGCTTCCGCATCGCGTCCATTCGTCAGGAATTGATGGTGGATGTGCTGCCGGAGCTGGATAACATCAAGCTCTATGCGGAGTTCTTGCAGGCGGAGTCAGAGGAGCTGGCTTTGGCCACGTCGGGGAAGGCGCAGGCGGCAACACCGGCACCAGCGGCACCCAATGCGGGGAACCCGGTGATCAAGGCCGTCGCAGACTATAAACCGGCAGATGGAACTCCTGGGGGTTGGGACAGGAAGAAGGCCCCGGGCGCGACGTGCCGCTTCTGGGGCACGGATGGAGGCTGCCGAAAAGGCAACGGGTGCGGCTATGTGCACTCGTGGGACGGCATCGTGAAGACGAACCGTTGCTTCCTGTGCTCGGGGGTTGGTCATGCGAAAAAGGACTGTCCCGTGAAGAAGGACAAGGAGCCAGCTGCCCCCAAGGTAGCGGTGTCAAGGATGATAAAGGGAAGGGAGGAAGACGGGAAGAAGGATGGAGAGGTGGCCAAGGAGGCACCGAACTACATCCCGGAGCCCCCCAAGGAAATGGTCAAAGGAGCAGGAAAGGCCCCAGGAACCACGGCAAAGCCAACGGCTAGCGGAAGTGGAGCAGCGGGTTCGGGGGAGGACTTGCTGAAGGAAGTGACGGGCCTCCTCAAGACGATGAGAGCGGCCAAGTTCAGGGTCAAGCAGATCAGCCAGCCAGAACCTGGTGCAGGACAGGAGTTGGCCCTGCTTGACGGTGGAGCCACGCATCCCCTTCGCCAAGCACGCCCTGAAGAGATGGCGGGACTGGTGGAATGCGAGGTGGAACTAGCCTGCGGGACGGCGGTGATGTTCAGACATAAGGACACCATTGCCCTGCTGACGAAGGAGCCGGTGGAGCCGATCGTGCCGCTGAGGACGTTGGTGGAGGCGGGCTTCGTCATCAACTGGACAGCTAAGGGGTGTCGGATCGAACACCACCAGCTGGGGAAACTGGATTGCTGGCTGAGGTCTGGCTGTCCGGTGATGGAGAGGAAAGCAGCTATGAAGCTCCTGGATTTCCTGGACTCTGCCGGGGCATCGGAGTGGGTCACGGACGATGAGGAGTGGTGGAGTTCAAGGTTTCCGGAGCTGCCGAAGAGCGTGATCGCCTACATGACGCGGGTCCTGGACGAGGGCGAGGCGAGCAACCGGTGCCCTTTTAATAGGCGGCTTCGACGACGGTGGGAGTCGGGCAAGGGCGTGGTGGTCCACCTCTTCTCCGGAAAGGACGGGAGGCAATGGAGAAAGACCGGCCTGGAGGGGTTCGAGGTGATCACGGTGGACGTGCAGGAGGACTCGAGGCAAGACCTACATAACCCCGCGCTGTGGGCCTATTTGTGGCGGCTCGCCGAGAAGGGCCTGATCAGAGCGGTGATAGGAGGACCTCCCTGTCGCACTGTGTCGAGAATGAGGCACATCCAACCAGGGCCTCCTCCGCTTCGAGGTCGGGGGGAGCTTCGACACGGTCTACCTGGCCTCAGCGTGGAGAATCAGCAGAAGGTTGATGGGGACACGGCGCTCTTCTTTAAGCAGATGGGCCTATGGCTGAGGGCGGCGGAAAACAAGCCGAACTGGATGCCGAACCCGGGATATTTGCAGGAGAATCCCATGGACCCCGCCAAGTACATGGATGAAGAGGCGGCCGGGGCTATGCCCTCTTTCTGGGAGTTCCCGGAGGTGAGAGAATTTGCCGGCCGAGCGGGAATGGCGATGGTGAACCTGGACCAAGGACCATATGGCCATGCGCGGAGAAAGCCGACAACCCTTCTTACGAACCTCCCCGAGATGGAGACTCTGGAGAATGGGAAGGGTGGCGGCCACGAAGAGCTTTCTGGAGAATTGCAGGGACGCCTTCGACAATCGCGAGAGTGGGCGGCATGGGCTCCGGGAGTGGTGGCGGCCGTCAAGGCTTCATTGATGGTCTATCTGCGGAACTTGAACCTGATGGACCACATGAAGGTTAAGAAGGCCATGAACCTGGATCAGTGGAAGGAACATGTTCGCCGAGGACATTGCCCTTTCGATAGAAGATGCAGAATGTGCCTTCAAGAGGCCGGGGTGGATCGTCCTCACCGAAGGTTGAAAGCGGCGGTATCGGCCTACGTGCTCAGCGTGGACATCACGGGCCCGTTCGTGGTGGGGAACGACGTGGGCACGAACCGGAAGGTGAAGTATGCCTTGGTGGCTACTGTGGCCGTTCCGGTTAAGGAAGAAGAAGAAGCCCTGCAAGGAGAAGACCGGCAAGAAGGTCTCGATGGGGACAGCGAAGGAGGCGATCGGGCTGGGGAAGAAGCCCAAGCAGAAGAAGAGATAGACCTGGAGGAGCTGGAATGCGAAGACCAGGAGCCGAGGGTCAGCGATGAGGTGGCGGAGAAGGTCAACGCCAAGGTCAAAGATGAGATGAAGGATGCTCTCCGTGGGTACCAGGTGCAGAACGTTACGGCCGTGGAGGTCCTGGAATCCCGAACGGCGAAGGATGTGCTGCTCGCCCTGGGCCTCCTGTTTTCGAAGTACAGGAGCATGGGAATCCCGCTCTACCGCATGCACTGCGACAGAGCCAAGGAGTTCCTCTCGATGCCCGTCAGGCAGTGGTGTGCGGAGCGCAATATGATTCTCACGCTCACGGGAGGGGATGACCATGCCGCCAATGGCAGAGTGGAAAGTGAAATAGGCCAGCTGAAGCGGAGGCTGAGAGTGACCCTCAAATCAACAGGGGCACCCCTATGTCTGTGGCCGACGGCGATGAGGCACGTGGCGTTGGAGCGCATGCAGAACCAGCTCAAGAACCTGGGCATCACCCCGACCCCGATGCTGCCCTATTACGCGCAGGTGATGGTCAAGACGAAGCGCTGGCATAAAGGCGGAGGACTGTCGGCCCCCTTCAAGGAGGTCAGGCTGCTTGGCCCAAGCCCAACAATGATGTGGGGGTGGGTGGTTCAAACCGCAGAAGGCAACGTTCAACACGCCCGAGCTGCCGTGCTCCCAGAGCCACTAGCGGACCGAGCGATGTACGAGCTCACCATTGATCCTCACCCCGGAAAGCCTGGAAAGAGACTTCATGGCAAACAGGGTCT